TTTGTCCGAGTCAGAAATGTTTTTTCGACGCTATTAATCAAATTATTTTTTTTCAAAGTTTAACACTATAAGGTATGGGAAAATATGGATTCAGAATATTTTTTTGCTGTCATCTCATCTTCTTGACCACAATATCTTTTTTTCATCAAATTGGGGATCAGAATTTTTTTTGGGGGTACAAAAAATACCCTTCCCCCTCCCCCTTGAAGTTAAATGGTCGTTCCCTTAGTTGAAGTCATCTCTCTCTCTGTCACAATTGTCCACGAAATTATACAGTATACCTTCCTCTCCTAGTCCGCACCAAATCTCGTTTTTTATATAGAAGAGGGACGAAAGATACCAGAGGGACAGTCAAACTCACAGATCGAAAACAAACTGACAACGCCATGGCCAAAAATAAAAAGACACACAGACAAATAATAGTATAGATGACACAACATATAGAAAACTAAAGACTAAGCAACACGAACCCCACCAAAAACTGGGGGTGATCTCAGGTGCTCCGGAAGGGTAAGCAGATCCTGTTCCACATGTGGCACCCGTCGTGTTGCTTATGTTATTACAAATCCGGTAAATAGTCTAATTCGGTAGGTCACATTCGTGAAAAGGGAAGGGTATCGTAGTTACGCCATATGGAACATATCCGATATCATCTGCGAAACGGTTATTCCATAACGGTCAATCAACTCGTGATGGCGTCCGTAAAATTTACGAAGGGATGATTTCAACTACACCATCTGGAACTCTTGGTTTGATAGCTTCCTTGTGAGCAGCAATCCTCTATCAAGGAAATCATGATAGGAAATACAAGCCCAGGAATATCGTATCAATTGGGAGATATATACTCCGTATGCAGGCGCTACTGGAATGTTGCTACATAGATTAGACCGTTGGTTTTCCTGTTGTTTTGCACTAGTCATTTTGGGGCCTTTTATAGCTTGCTGTTCGGTGTGAGCCAAGGCTCCATGTTGAAGGCCATACTTTGACATATAATTATTTACTTTTTATACATTGTGACTTTGATGGAGAGTTGTCTCATTGGCACTCATACCACATCTTCTTATTTATATTATATATACAATATAACTTCCTCTCCTAGTCCAATACCAAAACAAGATAATTTGAAGTCATCTCTGTGTCATATATGTCCAAGGATATAAGTATACAATATAACTTCCTCTCTTAGTCCAATACCAAAACAAGATTAGTTGAAGTCATCTCTGTGAAGCATATGTCCACGGATAAAAGTATACAATATAACTTCCTCTGTTCGTCCAATACCAAAACAAGATAAGTTGAAATCATCTCTGTGTCACATATGTCCACGAATATGAGCAAACAAAATACCTTACTCTGCTCGTGGAAACACTAATGTCCTGACTAATGTCCTGACCAATATGAAAAATGCTAATAACTTTTTTGTTCTTTGAAGGATCGACTTCAAATTTGATGTCAAGGAAGATTATAACATTATATATATTAATATAAGAAAAAATAGAAAAAAAAATAATTCAAAGAGTTGTAAAACTTGACCTGACCAAAGTCGACTCTGCCCTGACTAATGTCCTGACCGATGTAAAATTGCTAATTTCTTTTTTGTTCTTCGAAGGATAGATTTAAAATTTGATGTCAAGGAAGATTATAACATTAAATATATGAATAAAAGAAAAAATATAAAAAAAAAAATAATTTAAGAGTTAGAAAACTTGACCTGACCAACGTCGACTCTGCCCTGACTAATGTCCTGCCCGATGTAAAAATTTTAATCACTTTTTTATTATTGAAAGAATTGACTTAAAGTTCGTTACCAAGGAAGATTATAACATAAAATATAAGAATTTATGAAAAAAAAATGTTTGTTAATTTTTGAAATGTTAGAAAACTTGACCTGACCAACTTGATCTTTGCCATGATGAATGTCCGGACCGATATACAAATGCCAATAACTTTTTTGTTGTTGAAAGGGATATTATCAAGTTTGGTATCAGGGAAGATGACAACATTTAGTATAAGACTTTTAAAAAAAATTGTAAAAAAAAAAATAATTTTAAAGGTAAAAAAAACTCGACCTGACCAATCTATACTTTGTCCTAGCTTGCCAATGTCCTGACCGATAAAAAAAAGAAAAAATAACTGAGTTTTTTTTTCAAAAGCCAGAACAAAACTTCTTTGAATTTTATCAATATTCCATTTTTTTTAAAATATAGTTAAAAAGAAGTTGCACTTTTTAATTTTAAGCATCAAGGAACTTGAAATGACCACAATTAACCCCTATCAAAATTTCGCAAACTGTTTTAATTCTTGCCTTGTATAATCATGAAACCATATTTATCCAATCCCCTCAGGATCACAACATTCAAAGCATTTTTTTTTGTTAATTTGAAATGATATGGTATACTTTCATAATTCTATAAACTTGGTTAAGTGTAAATTATTAAACTAATTACTGATTTATTGAACCATATTAAATCATTATAAAAGTGATATATGTGATTAGATAACTTTGTGTATGATGATTTAGATACTTAGTTAATGCACTTTCCCTACTTTCAATAATTAGAATGATATAGATGTACAGAATTCAATAATGTCAAAAGACAGTGACATGAACAATTAAAATTTAATCACACCTATATTAATTACAGTTAACACAAATTGGAGTGTTTACTTACCTATATTTTCTTTTTATTTCACTCAATTTTTGTTTTTTTTAGTTAATGAGGGATTATATATACATGTCAAATAACATAAATAAGGACAGGAAATGGGCTTCGTTTGATTTCAAAATAATGTTTATACAAGCATTCAAAGTAAAATTATGTTAGAATCACATAGAAATATAAACACTTAAAAACATAATTTTATCATGTCACTGTCCTTTTGCTTTCTTCTATACATCTTTTCATTTCAATTAATTAAAAGTGCATATTCTTTCTTAACTATATTTAAAAAATGAAGTATTCATATAATTTAAAGAAGTCTATTATGTCTTTTGAGAGAGAAAAACCCAGTTATATTTATATTTGTCTTTTTTCATCGGTCAGGACACTGGCGAGGACAAGGTAACCCTAGATCAGTACAAGGTTTTTTTACCTTTTAAATATTTTTTTTACAATTTTTTTTACATTCTTATACTAAGTGTTGTAATCTTCCCTGATACCAAACTTGGCAATATCCCTTTCAACAAGAAAAAAGTTATTGGCATTTTTATATCGGTCCGGACATTCATCATGGCAAAGATCAAGTTGGTCAGGTCAAGTTTTCTAACATTTCAAAAATTAGCAAACATTTTTTTTTTCATAAATTCTTATATTTAATGTTAGTATCTTCCTTGGTAACGAACTTTAAGTCAATTCTTTCTATAATAAAAAAGTTATTAACATTTTAACATCGGTCAGGACACTAGTCAGGGCAGTGTCGACGTTGGTCAGGTCAAGTTTTCTAACTCTTTAAATTATTTGTTTCATATATTTTCTCATATTTATATATGTAATATTATAATCTTCCTTGACATCGAATTTAAAGTCGATCCTTCGAAGAACAAAAAAGTTATTAGCATTTTTGCATCGGTCAGGACATTAGTCAGGGCAGGGTCGACTTTGGTCAGGTCAAGTTTTTTTAACTCTTTAGATTATTTTTTTAAATATGTTTTCTAATATTTTATATATTTTATGTTATAATCTTCCTTGACATCAAATTTGAACTCGATCCTTCGTAGAACAAAAAAGTTATTAGCATTTTGCATATTGGTCAGGACATTAGTCAGGACATTGGTCAGGACATGAGTGTAACCCCTTTGCTCGTCCGATACCAAAACAAGATGAGTTAAGTAATCTTTGTGTCACATATGTCCATGGATATAAGTATACAAAATAATGTCCTCTGTTCGTTCGATAACAAAACAAGATAAGTTAAAGTCATCTCTGTATCACAATTGTCCACGAAAATAAATATAGAGTATAACTTCCTCTCCTAGTCCGCACAAAAACAAGATTAGTTTAAGTCATCTCTGTGTCACATAAGTCCACGGTTATAAGCATACAAAATACCTTACTCTGCTCGTCCGATACAAAAACAAGATAAGTTGAAGTCATCTCTTTGTCACATATGTCCATGGATATGAGTACTTAGTATACAATATAACTTCCTCTCCTCGTCCAAAACAAAAACAAGTTAAAGTCATCTCTGTGTCATATATGTCCATGGATATAAGTATATAATATACTTTCCTCTCCTCGTCCAATGCCTAAACAAGACAAGTTGAAGTCATCTCTGCGTCACACATGTCCATGTACATACGTATACAATATAATTTCCTCTCCTAGTCAAATACCAAATACAAGAGTAGTTTAAATCATTTCTGTGTCACAGATGTCCACGGATATAAGTATACAATGTAACTTTCTCTGTTCGTACGAAGTTAATCTTGAAAAATTAGTTGAAGTCATCTCTTCCAAACTTTAAATGTCGCCATCATAATTTGTTTTACCACTTTAAAGATCTGTGTCCCAAATGACCAAGGAGATATGTTCCATTTGTCGTTAAAACAAACGTTGAATGAACTATTGTTTGTCCTTTTTCTTTTGACTACTGAGTACTTTGTCTTTTGTACTAATGTGTTTTCATTAAAGGAAAGTTCAAAAGGGAAAGTCCCTTATCTCTTATGAAGGGACGTAACAACACCGTGTATTTAAATAAACCACGCCTACTAACCTCATATTAAATATACACGGTCTCCACATGGTCGCTTTTAACCAATGATCTTCCTAGAAATATATAGGAGGTAAGATATTATGACATCTCGTATGCATGGTATAGTTTAGGGCAAATCATATCGGTAGTCTATCCTGTCGCTTTAAAACTTAATACAGTGATATAATCATACTACGACGTGACCTTTTTTTCTTTTCTACCTTGTTTTTGGAAGATACCGATCACAAAGGCATACATGGCATATATAATTACTGAGATTGGTTCTGTTATATTCAAAGCATAACATATTATTACTTATAACTCATTTATTTTTAATTACACTCTTTGAATGTTCATTATCATACTAACTATATCACTATGAGATTTGCTTACAGCAATTTTTACGGCTGACTGGCCATCATTGTTACATTTATTATAATCTACTCCTTTGTCTAACAACATCTTCACTATTTCTGTATGTCCCTCACTACAAGCATGCATTACAGGTGACCAACCATCTTGGTCACATTTATCATAATCTGCTCCTTTGTCTAACAATATCTTTACTATTTCAATATGTCCGTCAATACAAGCCAACAAAAAGGGTGACCAACCATCACCGCTACACTTATCAACATCAACACCATGCTTTAAGCACCAGTTGATGATAGGAATATTAATCAAGTTACAAACTAGCATCAGTACAGTATTTTTGCTTTCAATGTCAATGGTGTGTGCTAATCGTATCTGGTAGGATACGTCCAGCTTTTCTAAGTGACAGACAAACTTTTGTATGAACTGAGTTACCTTCATATTGATGTTACTAAACACATCATTGACTCTACCCTTTGACCAGTCCTCAATTATTCTATGCATGTACAATTCATGATACCTGGTAGGTACAACTGCTAAACATTTATCCAAAGTGTCTTGTTTCTCTAGTAAAAATCTTTCCTTGATTAAACTGCTATGTGCATTCTTTATCAAGCATTGAATTATTTTCTGTCCAAAGTAGTACACAATAGAGTCAAATATCTTATCATGAATAATTTTGTATATGTTTTGTTCTTTTCTCAGGAATGTATGTATAAGTGAGTTCAGTTCATTCTGTAAAGTTAGCCTTGATGTCCCTCTGTCCAGTCTACATGCCTCACATGTGTTCTCAATGATGGTTCTTGTTTCTTCATTCACATCCTCGGTTAATATTTCTTCCTCCAAATTGTTGTTAAATATGACACATAAAGCCAAAGCACAGTATTTGCTGTAAAATCCTTTTTTATGTAGCTCGTCAATCTCTGCTTCATAAACTGAAAATGGTCTCTTGAAAAATTCCTTTATATCTAGTGCAGGATTTTCATGATACAAGTTACATAAAAGTGGAAAGCAATCATACAAATCACAAGAATCGGCAATTTCAAGAGCTTTTGTTTTCAGATATAACTCAGCTATTGATTGTTTTTCTGCTTTTGACAAGCACATGCTTTCTGATAAAAGGTTACATACACATGATTTCAAAACTGATAAAGAATCGAATTTGTTATCCTGATACACTTGTAATCGACATGCTACAATTACTTTAGAAAGTTTATTTGAAAGGATCAATTTTAGTCGCTCCATGACTGGTTCCCAAACTTTAATGTCTGTCTGGTTTAAAGAATAGTTTCCGCATAAATCATCAATAACAAACAATGTTTTCTGTTTTGGATTATAAAACTTGACAATGTCACCTGGATCTGTCACTAAAAGTACATCGTACCCTTCCGCGGCCATCTGTAATGCCACATGTCGGAGTATGGCCGTCTTCCCTACACCAGAACTAGCAGTGACAGTTACACAACTGTCCTCCTTTATACATTTCAGTACATGATTGGCAGCTCTGGTTGTTATAAACATCTTGTCATTGTCCTGACACTCAACTAGGAACTGATTGATTTGTTCTGAAATATAAATGATAAAATAGCTATTACTAATGTTTTGTTTTGCAATTTAAATGATTGTATATTTATTAGTAACTTTGAGAAGATCATTTTGCATTCCATACAATTTTCAGCACAAAAAATTTTGTCTACTTTATAATAATTTAAAAAGAAAACCTTACCTTCATGTATTAAGTTTCAACAAAATGTGTAGTTATATCATTATGTTTAACCTTTCTTATTTATTAACATCAATTTCATCAGTAATCAAAGCCGGGCTTCAAAGTTATTGTGAAAATACCTACTAAAGGGACGGCAAAAATCAGAAGCGGATACTTTAAACTTCCAAAGATCTGTAAAGAGTATATACAATCTAAGTCTCTTTCCTCTTGTAATAGTATTAAAACATTTGACTTTTCTACCCTTTACACAAGTATTCCCCATTCCAAACTAAAAGACAAATTGAAAGAATTGGTCCTGCTTTATTTCATAAAAAACGAATGACCAACGTAGATAAAACTATCTCGTCTTAGGGAGGGATAAATCGAACTATGTAAAAAATCACTGTGATCCAAACAAAAAAGTTCTCTGAAACTGACATTATCAAGATACTTGATTTCTTGATTGACAACATATTTGTTATGTTTCAACGAACAATCGGAATTCCCACGGGAACCAACTGTGCTCCTCTTCTTGCTGACTTTTTCATTTAATCATATGAGGCTGAAATTCATAGAGGAGTCCTTAGGAAAAAAGAAGAAAGCACTATCCTGCAACTTCACGTTCCTTTTTATAGATGGAAATCCTCTCAATAAATAAATTAAAGTTTTGTGACTATGTTGACCGCATCTATCCAATCGAACTTGAAATAAAGGATACAACAGATACATTTAAGTTTGCCACATATCTTGACTTATATCTAGGAATTGAAAATGAGGGTCGTTTGAGAACAAAACTTTGCGACAAAAGAGATAATTTTATCTTCCTAATTGTTTTGCGAACTTTTCATTTCTATGTAGCAACTTTCCAGCAGTGCCTGCATATGCAGTATATATGTCCGCATCGATACGAAATGCACGAGCTTGCATTTCCTATCATGATTTTCTTGATTGAGGGTCTCTGCTTACAAGGAAGCTTTTGAACAAAGATTTCCAAGTTGGAAGTTGAAATCATTTCTTCGATAATTTTACGGACACCATCACGAGTTGGTTGACCGTTATGGAATATCTGTATCACAGAGGATGACGGATAAGTTCCAAATGTTGTAACCACAATCCCGTCCTCTTTTCCCCGAATGTGACTTATCATTAGGCTTTTAGTTACATTACGTATATGAGCAACACGACTATTACTATAAACAAAATACTCATGACTTGCTATAAATTGTTTCCAGGGGCGGATTCAGGCGGGGGAGTGGCGGGTGTGCGCCCCCCCCCCCCCCCCTAAAATTTGCAAAGCATGGGTTGTCCTCAGCTTAATAAAGAATATTTCGACAATATTCCCCACTCCGTTAGGCGAAAATTTAAGTCTGCGCCCACTCGCACAACCTAAAAATCCTGCATCCGCCCCTGGTTTCTCCTAAACTCAAACTAAAAGAAATATTCAATAGACCATGACTGAGGGGGCCGTTAACAGCACAATAAAGTTAAGTCCTACTTTCACAGGAGAGGCAATATTAAAACAATCTGATGTGATGAAATTTAACTTTACACAACGCATGATCAGGATTTCACAGTTTTTGAGAAGAGTTAAAAAGATATTCAAGATTAAAGGGAGGCTGATGAAGTCTCTTTTAATTATGATTGGATCGTTTACGCTCATATACAGCGACATGGTTTTTGCGGTCTTAGATCTTTAGATACTCATACCAATTAAGACCTGTCCAATTATGTCCTATTCCTGACAGTTTTAAGAGTAGATGCCATCTTTGATATGGTATTATTCTGAAGAGCAAATGAGGTGTAAGATAAGCTTTCATGTCTCATTGTTTTGTCATCAGACTGAGTGAGTATACAGTTTGGAGATTTTTCAGGAAAGTTTAAATTATTTGCTGCACTTTTCAAATTGTTTTTTGTCCATTTTCTTTGTGAAGGGTTTGTAGAGGTTGCACTATAGCTGTCAAATATTTACCCCTTATATTCCATGGCACTGTATCTTTCTGGGAAGTTTCTAGCGTGTTCATGTCTATTTTCATATCTTCATTGGCTTTATTCAAGAACTCAACTGCCCTTTTTAGTTCCATTATTTCATCATTTGAATATTTGATGTCCAGCATTATTTCCTCATTAGTCTGATCCAGTGTCTTCACCTTCAAGTTATCACACTCCTGCTGCATTGGTTGTCCACCTAATCTGCCGATAGCCTGGAAAGTTTCAAAGAACAGTCTTCTTCAAAAATTAGATTAACAATGAGATACCAGGCTTATAATTTATTAAGCCAGACGTGAAGTACTTCACATCTGACTTATCAGCGGCGCCCAAATTGTTGAAGAGCATTGAAAAATCAAAAGTTCCAAAAAGTTGTTTCATATATGGTTAGGAGCATCTATCCCAGGAGTATGCCAACCCTTGGTGTATCGAACAAGTCATTTATTCCTTTTCTCCCAGTGCCTTCAAATAAATATTTAATTTTGTTCCATAATAGGTCTAAAATAGATTACTTCTGACGTATATGCAAGGGAGGAAAATACAAAACACATGCAATGTTCGTGTACACTGTTGTAGATAGATATTGCTGACATACAAAAACATTGAGTTGAGGCAATGAAGATTTCCAGCATCGCTCCATATTAGCAAATGAACAAAAATACCAAAAAGTTTGACTAATTTCTATTTATTTTTGATAAAATGCTTAAAAATTAATTGACTATGAATACAAAGCTATATTTATTGCAAGATAATATAGGAAAAAGAAGTGAAATACCTCATTTTTAGTTCTCTATAGCAATTATCACAACTTTCGAACTATAAAAAGAAATTTTATTTAAGTTAGAAAAAAAGAATTTCAGTACGAAAAACTAAACAATTACTTCCTCTATCACACTCTGTTTCACATATTCATAAAGGATGCGAGAAAATATGTCAATAAGACCGCAATCGAACAAAATTTGAGGATCTCAATAGCATTGCCCATGTGGATTAGCCCAGTATGAAAAGCCTGCTTTCGAACATATTCAATCTGAGTATGCCTTCAGTTTGCTGATCCATGTAATGTTTAACCATTCATTATTTAAGTTCAGATTTGGCTGATTAAAAAATGAGGAAATGTTGAGATAAAAATTATATTAACCGTTCCGGTTCGTGTCCTGTCAGAAAACCCATCAGTGACAGGCTTATGTCATATCTAAATGATTTTTGTTTTTTTAGAGGATTGTGTGTCGATGATAGACCTTGAATAAACTCTGTTTAATGTATCCACAACTACCTTAGACTCGTGTCAATTTCGAGCTTGTCATATTCTATAGATGCCGGTTTATTAATAAAGACAGTATGCTTATCTCTAGTTGAATTTTGATCATTGTGTTGTTGGGTAACTGTCTCATTAGACAATAGTGTATTTTATTAATATCCTATCACATAAAATTGCTTAAACCAGTAAGACTGCCCTATATTATTCATATATATATGTATGTCCCTAATTGCTAAGAACACCAGAAATATCGCCCCATGTTGTGTTAAACGTAGTACTTTTTGTGTTACTATATAACCTACACCAGTAGTATTTCCCCATGGTGTGGTGAACATTGCATAATTCTATTTTAACTTCACCTTTTATATTTTCCAATGTTCTGATCAACATTGTACCATTCAATTTTACTTACACCAGTGATATCATTCCATGCTGTGGTAAACTCAGTATTATCCATTTTACTTACACCAGTGATAGCATTCCATGCTGTGGTAAACTCAGTATTATCTATTTTACTTACACCAGTGATAGCATTCCATTCTGTGGTAAACTCAGTATTATCTATTTTACTTACACCAGTGATAGCATTCCATGCTGTGGTGAACTCAGTATTATCCATTTTACTTACACCAGTGATACACTAGCATTCCATGCTGTGGTGAACTCAGTATTATCGATTTTACTTACACCAGTGATAGCATTCCATGCTGTGGTAAATTCAGTATTATCCATTTTACTTACACCAGTAATTGCATCCAATGCTGTGGTGAACTCAGTATTATCCATTTTACTTACACCAGTGATAGCATTCCATGCTGTGGTAAACTCAGTATTATCTATTTTACTTACACCAGTGATAGCATTCCATGCTGTGGTAAACTCAGTATTATCTATTTTACTTACACCAGTGATAGCATTCCATGCTGTGGTAAACTCAGTATTATCTATTTTACTTACACCAGTGATAGCATTCCATGCTGTGGTAAACTCAGTATTATCCATTTTACTTACACCAGTGATAGCATTCCATGCTGTGGTAAACTCAGTATTATCCATTTTACTTACACCAGTGATAGCATTCCATGCTGTGGTAAACTCAGTATTATCTATTTTACTTACACCAGTGATAGCATTCCATGCTGTGGTAAACTCAGTATTATCTATTTTACTTACACCAGTGATAGCATTCTATGCTGTGGTAAACTCAGTATTATCTATTTTACTTACACCAGTGATAGCATTCCATGCTGTGGTGAACTCAGTATTATCTATTTTACTTACACCAGTGATAGCATTCCATGCTGTGGTAAACTCAGTATTATCCATTTTACTTACACCAGTGATAGCATCCAATGCTGTAGTAAACTCAGTATTATCTATTTTACTTACACCAGTGATAGCATTCCATGCTGTGGTGAACTCAGTATTATCCATTTTACTTACACCAGTGATAGCATTCCAGACTGTGGTAAATTCAGTATTATCCATTTTACTTACACCAGTGATAGCATTCCATGCTGTGGTAAACTCAGTATTATCCATTTTACTTACACCAGTGATAGCATTCCAGACTGTGGTAAATTCAGTATTATCCATTTTACTTACACCAGTGATAGCATTCCACGCTGTGGTGAACTCAGTATCATCCATTTTACTTACACCAGTGATAGCATTCCAGACTGGTAAATTCAGTATTATCCATTTTACTTACACCAGTGATAGCATTCCATGCTGTGGTAAACTCAGTATTATCCATTTTACTTACACCAGTGATAGCATTCCAGACTGTGGTAAATTCAGTATTATCCATTTTACTTACACCAGTGATAGCATTCCATGCTGTGGTGAACTCAGTATTATCCATTTTACTTACACCAGTGATAGCATCCAATGCTGTGGTAAACTCAGTATTATCTATTTTACTTACACCAGTGATAGCATTCCATGCTGTGGTAAACTCAGTATAATCCATTTTACTTACACCAGTGATAGCATCCAATGCTGTGGTAAACTCAGTATTATCTATTTAATTTACACCAGTGATAGCATTCCATGCTGTGGTAAACTCAGTATTATCCGTTTTACTTACACCAGTGATAGCATTCCATGCTGTGGTGAACTCAGTATTATCCATTTTACTTACACCAGTGATAGCATTCCATGCTGTGGTGAACTCAGTATTATCGATTTTACTTACACCAGTGATAGCATTCCATGCTGTGGTAAATTCAGTATTATCCATTTTACTTACACCAGTAATTGCATCCAATGCTGTGGTGAACTCAGTATTATCCATTTTACTTACACCAGTGATAGCATTCCAGACTGTGGTAAACTCAGTATTATCCATTTTACTTACACCAGTGATAGCATTCCAGACTATGGTAAATTCAGTATTATCCATTTTACTTACACCAGTGATAGCATTCCATGCTGTGGTGAACTCAGTATTATCCATTTTACTTACACCAGTGATAGCATCCAATGCTGTGGTGAACTCAGTATTATCCATTTTACTTACACCAGTGATAGCATGCCAGACTGTGGTAAATTCAGTATTATCCATTTTACTTACACCAGTGATAGCATTCCATGCTGTGGTGAACTCAGTATTATCCATTTTACTTACACCAGTGATAGCATTCCATGCTGTGGTGAACTCAGTATTATCTATTTTACTTACACCAGTGATAGCATTCCATGCTGTGGTAAACTCAGTATTATCCATTTTACTTACACCAGTGATAGCATTCCATGCTGTGGTGAACTCAGTATTATCCATTTTACTTACACCAGTGATAGCATTCCATGCTGTGGTGAACTCAGTATTATCTATTTTACTTACACCAGTGATAGCATTCCATGCTGTGGTGAACTCAGTATTATCCATTTTACTTACACCAGTGATAGCATTCCATGCTGTGGTAAACTCAGTATTATCCATTTTACTTACACCAGTGATAGCATTCCATGCTGTGGTGAACTCAGTATTATCCATTTTACTTACACCAGTGATAGCATTCCATGCTGTGGTAAACTCAGTATTATCCATTTTACTTACACCAGTGATAGCATTCCATGCTGTGGTGAACTCAGTATTATCCATTTTACTTACACCAGTGATAGCATTCCATGCTGTGGTAAACTCAGTATTATCCATTTTCGCCTCATCAAGGTGGGCAAGGTAGTTTCTGTAATGTTTTATCCTGGCCAAATCTGAACTAGGTGTAGTTTCGGTAGCTGCAGGCAACTGGTCATATCCAAAATGAGGAGGGGTTATGTTTGTCAAGTTTCTAAGTAATGTTATCATAAGAGTAACATCAAATGTTTTAGAATCAGGAACATCTAAAATAAAATATAAGCATATTCATTTATAAAGATTGAAGGTTATAATAATGAACAAGATATTTACATTGCAATAAGACTGATGTTGGTTGACCTCTATGTTGTATATTATGTGTGTGCTTGGGTTGATGTCTAATTGGTATTCATTTTTCCACATCTCCCTTTTTCATTCTGCACTTAATCATGATATAATGTCTATTCACTATCATGGCTAATGATGGAGTGTTGCTTGCAAGACATGTCATGGTATTTGTCCCATTAGCAATCATACCACATTTCCTTATTATACTATGGAAAGCCAACGGGGTCAAAATTCTTACTTCGTAACTTGTCAATTTGTAACTTGTAACTCTGTGATTTGTCAATTTGTATATTGATGTTTTGTAACTTGTCGATTCGTAAATTGTCAATTTGTATATTGATGTTTTGTAACTTGTCGATTCGTTAAATGTCGATTTGTAAATTGTCAATTTGTATATTGATGTTTTGTAACTTGTCGATTCGTTAAATGTAGATTTGTAAATTGTCAATTTGTATATTGATTTTTTGTAACTTGTCGATTCGTTAAATGTCGATTTGTAAATTGTCATTGTTGTATTATGCTAAAGATCATTATGACGACAGATGGCGCTCGGTTTCTTCTTCGGTGAATCAGCCTTCTGTAAGTAGGAGCACCTCCATATGGAGTATATACCTAAGTAATTTAAATCAATTATATATGTACAGCAAAGGCATCTAAAAGAACACAAATGGAATAATGACATTTTTATTTTTAGATGGCATGTATACAGAAACCCGATCTCTCCTACTTGCGAGGTTAATGAAGTAGTCGTAGATTAGCGGAATATAGCGACTATTCGGGTAAATAGATATAAGGAGATGTGGTAATAAACAGTATGATTGTCAATGAGACAACTATCCACCAAAGTTCAAATAAAATCGATGTAAGCAATTATAGGCAACGTAAGGCCTTCAACAATGAGAAAAACCCAATCCATATAGTCGGCTATAACAGGCTACATCAGTACGTGAAAATCAAGGTAATAAACGGTTTCTAGTAATCCTTAAATGCTATTATCGGAACAATTTTGTTCAGACTGAGGCCTCAGGGGGAAGGGCTGACATATTATATATATATATCATTTGTACATGCCTACTAAATTTTTCTGGTCAAGAAGCTAAGAATTGCTACTACCTGATTTTTTCGATCTATAAAAATTTACAAAACAAAAAAGGACAAAATGTTCCCGATTCCCTCATTATCCACTGCTGTCGATCGGATCGTTAATTAACAGTTGATTCACGATGTTAATCAATAACGTTTGTATTATATAAGCTAAATATTTCGAAATTTGCATTTCATATGAAATTTAAAATAATTTTATGAATCATTCTTATATCCAATTGACGAAACCATGTTGTTGTATTCCGCCTGGCTCTTCTGTCGAACCGCAGTGAGCTAGGATCCCAGGCTACCCCTTCTCACATTTTGCCACCATTTTACTCTTCAAAATATTCCATGGCAGCCCTCCCCCGCAACCCCCAGCCAAACCCCAAATCTTGTTCAAAGATTTTCATGGGGAAATGAAATTAAGGTAAGCAGATTGGAGATAATTGCTTCTGTCATGCAAATTGCGAGATCTTCTATCTGACAAGTCAAAGCGGTAGGGTGTCACTTTGGTAAAAAGTGGGTATAGGTGTGTAATAAAAAAGAAACTGTTTCATAGTTTTACTATCATGGTCATTGACATAATATTCAGAAGAGACAGATCCTAGTATATGTTGATCCAGTACCATGATCATTCTAGATCTGTATCGCTATCTGTGTAATACGTTGTGGATACCCATTCTGGCTTTAATACAATGGTAGAGAGAGCGCTGTCGATTTAATGACGGTGCACGAGAGAAGTGTCTGAAGCGGTGTGCGCACTACAGTGTCTTCAAGGAGGTTCCACTTGATTACTGTTTTTACGAAAAATGAGTTGGAATGTGGTATTTTGATCGTTGAAATCTCAAAACACTTTGTGTTGTCTTGATCTGTTTTTCCACAATATTTATTGACTGATAATTGTCAAATCCCTTGGCAGCAATTGTTCTCTTTGGACGAGCTTTTTTTTTAAATTTGTCAGGTTCCATAGCAAGAACCAGCCCCTCACCCACCTCGTACAGAACTATTAGCTTCTGGCTTAAGTGTTTTGTCTGTTTGCCTTTGGTGAGAGTGTTTGAGACGGAACCATCTTCTCTGGATTTGTAGCTTCTTCGTTATAAATCTCGCAGCTTGTCGCTGTATTCTTTCAAGCTTGTTGATGTTCGTAGATGTGTAGGGGTCCCATATACTATTGCTTCATACTCCATTACTGACCAGTGAAATATATGCGGTTTTCTTGCAATCTGGTGGGCAATATCTCAAATTCCTTATCAGGAATCCTAGTCACGGTTGGGTTTGCATTCTTGGCTACGATTGAAATATGGGTAGTCCATTTTAGGTCCTCGATAAGTTTTCTAGTTCCTTTAGATTTTATTACAAAATATTGCATATCCAATACAGTGTTAATATATAGTATACATTAAATAAGTGACTCATTTATAATAATACTTCATTCAATTTGTTTTGCAAAGTACATGATATAAATTTTTTTTATCTTCATTACTCAAGAGCCAAATAAATAAAGATTTTTCATCCATTTCAGTGCTTCTTGTATTAAAAAATCATTAGATATAAATTACATTCTTTTCCAATATCTTAAGATTATAATATTAAGGAATAATAGGTGATAACCCATTTCTCCCATCATACATTTAGTTCAAAATTTGCAGGCCAGAACAATATAAGTATGAATTTTCCAGCTCAGTCTTATATTTCATGTATTTAGTCTTATTTTGACCCGGTCAAATATTAAGAAGAAATTTCCTGCTAAGTGACAGTAATATATTTGCGAAGTTGATAAGGGGGCCCATTCCAGCGACACGTCAGTATATACCTAAATACAGGAAGTGACAAACCCCTCCCAGGTGTGGTGACCAGTACGGTAGACATACATGTTTATTCGAGGTCATCTCTATATAAAACCGAGTCCCTGGTATATATGCCATATAAACCGAACAATGTATTTATCTTTTTATTTTCTTTTATTTGTATATGCTGTACATAATTGATTTATGAAATTACTTAGGTATATACTCCACATGGAAGTGACAAACAAACAAATGGAAGTTTTTAACGACCTTGACTGGCTATACAGCCCTTGTACGGTCGGTAATGGAAGTGCTCCTACTTACAGGAGGCTTATACACCGAAGAGGAAACCGAGCGCCATTTGTCATCATAATGATCGTTAGCATAATACAACAATGACAATTTACAAATCGACATTTAACGAATCGACAAGTTACAAAACATCAATATACAAATTGACAATTTACAAATCTACATTTAACGAATCGACAAGTTACACAACATCAATATACAAATTGACAATTTAAAAATCGACATTTAACGAATCGACAAGTTACAAAACATCAATATACAAATTGACAATTTACGAATCGACATTTAACGAATCGACAAGTTACAAAACATCAATATACAAATTGACAATTTACCAAAAAAGATTTTTGAAATCACACAGTTACAAGTTACAAATTGACAATTTACGTATTACGAATTTTCAAATTACAAAGATACAAGTTACAAATTGACAATTTACGTATTACGAATTTTCAAATTACAAAGATACAAGTTACAAATTGACAATTTACGAAGAAAGAATTTTGAAATTACAAAGATACAAATTACAAATTGACAATTTACGAAGTAAGAATTTTGACCCCGTTGGCTTTCCATATTATACGACTTATATTCAAATGTTCGTCTGTTCGTCACACGTTTAATCTAAGGTTGATAAATACAGTACCAATTGACAAAATGTATTGTAATTCAACACAATGTCATAGAGTATAAAATACTGATCAAGTTTGATTATGACCGTTCAAGAGTTATATCCGATATTTACCTTTAAAACTAGTTGTGTGATTTTTTTCTTTAATTGTTTTGTCATACATCAGCTGGCTGTTGCTTTTTCGTTGGAAATTTATCACACTTTGTTATGTCAAGGTCTAATATAGCTGACTATGCGGTATTGTTTTTGCTCATTGTTGACGGTCTTACAGTGACCTGTAATTGTTACGTATCATAGATACAATGCATAAGAGTTGGTTCTTGAAAAAGAAACCACGAGCCCGGAGGGAGACTGGTTTGTTTTTCATGAATCAACGCTTATCCATTGTATCTATAACTTAAATGTTATTATTGTTAAACTATTGTGATGATGTCTTTTCAAAATTAAAGCCTTTTCTTAATTAGAAGGTATTGTAATTGAGTATAAATAACCCTGTTATCATGTTCAACGATGTATTAATAAATCAAAGTTCACAATTAATTGGTTAGGGAAATACAAGTTTAACATAACACGTCTGTCTTTAAATTATTATGCATCTGATTATTATCCGTAATTTACAAAGTAAGACATATTCGAACTTATTTTTAGGTATATATAATAAGTCTGTTACAGAAATTTCTAGCAAGAAACCTAATTCTAGGCACATCACAGTTTACTCGTATAGGTATTTGCGAATAAACATTTGTAAAGATATGTAGTAAAACAGATGAAATCATACTATATTTATAAAACAAAAAGGGATAAATTGAATGTAGTCATTTTTTCTTTCAAATACGTGAATTCGCCAATAATAATCCAAAAATAAACGGGGAAACCCGCAATTGTTACAAAAATATCCAAAATAACATACAAAATAAGAAAAACGGAAAAACTAAAGAATAGGAACATCAAAGAGATTCGAATTTAAACCGACAAGTCTCTACTTCTAACTTGTCTCTATAACTCATGGATCTTAACCTCGCAGCTACCAACTTATACTATACGATTGTCTATTATGTATATATAAAGGTACAAACCCTGTGTGTCCGTTGTACCGATGTGTATCATATGTTCATTTATATACATAATATAGACATCTAAGTTGCAACCCATTGGTAGCCGGGATTTTGTCGATGTGTCGATGGCTGGCACACATAACAGATTTCAAGGAGGGGTTCGAATCCATGTGAAGGCATATAACATTTACAAAAGTTAAAAGAAAGTTTTAAATTAATTCCATTAGTAAACAGAATTCAGTAAATTAGCCAATTCAAACTTAATGAAATTAGGCACACAAAGGTAACAATTGAAAATGATTTGGGGAGTCGGAATTGAATAGGCTGACGTCACGGGAATGGTTTAATTCTCGTTATTAGATAGTTGCTTTTTTTTGCAATCATACCACATCTACCGAGGGTATCACTAGCCCAGTGGTCAGCACTTCTGTGTTGACACGATATATTATTGATATGGTCAATTTATAAAAACTTTGAATTGCTCGAATGCTTTTCAATTTCGTACTTGGTTGTCCTTTCGAACATCACTGATGAGTCTTTTGTAGACGAAACGCGAGTCTGGCGTACACAATTATAAACCTAGTATTTTTGATGATTTTTTAAAACTTTTTCTTCGGCTTGCTGATGATCATGAAAATACCTCTTGAAAAATCTTGTACACCCTGTCATGGACCACAAAATACTGACCAACATTAACCATGAGTTATGTCCCTTACCTTTAAATCATTGTTATTGTGTATGTTTCCGTGTGACATTTAGAGTACCACATACCAACATCTTTTGAAATTTGAACACTATATCATGGAACATAAAATAATGGAACATAAAATAAAGCTCAAGTTCAATTTTGATGAATTAGTTATTTACTGTTCAAAAGTTGATTCACTTAGATACCTTAATCTTTTGATTTGCCTTTCCAGAAGACGAAGAAGTTGTCTTTTGATAATTGTTTTTTTTTCTTTTCTTTTTTCAATGCTATGAAACATGAAATACAAGTCGTGTTCAATTTAGATTTTACATCTTTGAAGCACCAGTTTTGAACCTATGTTTTATATATATATAATATATAATTACTCTAAATATCAGCACAACAATGTTAAATCTGCAAATTTGCGGAAGCAAATGTTTGTTCTTCCCTCTCCGGGATTCGAACTCATATAAATATACAGTACTTCTTTAATATAATTTTACTGAAAGTATAATTATAATATATTAGCACTGGACTGGTACAAAATTCTTATTTGTGTCTAAAATGTACCACACATTAATAGAATTCAACTGTAACTTACAACTTGAGGTACAAATCAAGTACTGTGAAATAAAGGTACTTAAATAGTACAACAATTTTGAAGTACTGATTAAATACTCCATTAACTATGTATGTTTTCAGTACTTAAAATTTATAGCACTTAAAAAGTGCTCATGCAAAGGTAGATGTCAAAGACCACTTGGACACTTCTAGCTGACCAGATGAATAAGGAGAGTGGCTCATATATGACAAATCTCTCACTTCTAACCAGGAAAGCTAGAAAACAGGGGATTCCACTTTGACTGACATATATATATCATATCCTCTTATACTTACCAGGAAATCAGGGGAACAGGAAATTCCACTGAGACTGACATATATCATATCCTCTTATACTTACCAGGAAATATGGGATGGGGAACAGGAAATTCCACTGATACTGACATATAGCATCTCTTTTTATACTTACCGGGAAATATGGGGAACAGGAGATTATACTGAGACTGACATATATCATATCCTCTTATACTTACCAGGAAATATGGGGAACAGGAAATTCCACTGAGACTGACATATGGCATCTCTCTCCTTTTATACTTACCGGGAAAATGGGGAACAGAAGATTACACTGAGACTGTCATATAGCATCTCTTTTTATACTTACCGGGAAAAATGGGGAACAGGAGATTACACTGAGACTGGCATATAGCATCTCTTTTTATACTTACCGGGAAATATGGGGAACAGGAGATTACACTGAGACTGACATATAGCATCTCTTTTTATACTTACCGGGAAATATGGGGAACAGGAGATTACACCGAGACTGACATATAGCATTTCCTTTTATACTTACCGGGAAATATGGGGAACAGGAGATTACATTGAGACTGACATTTAGCATCTCCTTTTATACTGTCCGGGAAATATTGGGAACAGGTGGTTACACCGAGACTGACATATAGCATCTCATTTTATACTTCCTGGGAAATATGGGGAACAGGAGATGACAGAGACTGAAATATAGCATCTCCTTTGATATTTACCGGGAAATAAGGGAACAGGAGATTACAGAGACTGAAATATAGCATCTCCTTTGATACTTACAGGGAAATATAGGGAACAGGAGATTACACTGAGACTGACATATAGCATCTTCTTTTATACTTATCTGCTTACCGGGAAATATGGGGAACATGAGATTACACTGAGACTGAATATAGCATCTCTCTTTATAATGAACAGGAAATCAAGAAAACAAGAGATTCCACTGAGACTGGCCTTTAGCATGTCTCTTTATACTGACCAGCAAATCTAGATAACAGGAAAATCTCCTGACTGATATGAAGCATGTTTTCCTTATTACTAGGAAATATAGGAAACAGGAGATTCCTCGGCGACTGACATATACTAGCATTTAATTCTTTCTATACTCACCAGGAAATCTAAATAACAGGATATTCCACTGAGACTGTCATTAAGCATGCATACAGTATCACCAGGAAATCTAGGAAACAGGAGATGACGAGGAGACTGATATATAACATGTCTCTCTATACTTGAACCAAAAAATCAGGAGAACGGCAGATTCCGCTGATACTGTCATATATCATGTTGTTCATACTCACCAGGAAATCTAGGAAACAGAAGATTCCACTGAGACTGGCCTATAGCATGTCCCTGTATACTCACCAAAACTGTATCGTTGTCTGAAGTCACTAGCGACATGTTTTATCGGTCTTACAACTTTAGATACAAGTGAAGTCGTTTGTATCCTATTCCCGATTGTGACATTTTGACCATGTTATGACTGAAAATGGATTTGCATCTCGAATAATCCATGCATACAAAGAGAAGTTTATTATGTTGAAGCACCCGGTTTCGATCCTTTTCGAGTTCATGCGATTCCCTAAGGTTTTGATTGTGTCCTTGCAATTGATTTGTTCCATCTTAATGTATTTACGAGATTCCACATCAGTAAACTAATGCCGGCTTAATACAGTATAGTAGTTCACTATACTTACCCGGAAATCTAGGAAACAGGAAATTCAACTGTATCTTACATATAACAAATCTCTCTATACTTACAAGGAAATCTAGAGAACAGCAAGTTACCCTGTGAATGGCATCTAAATTGCCCCTCTAAACCGACAAGGAACTCTTGGGTACAATAGGTTTTACTAGGTCCAACAAATAACCGGTCTCTCTATACTTCCCTCGCAATTTTGGGAAAATGGGTTTTACTGTGGCTGACATGTATCATGTCACTACAATAACAAGGAAATATGAAGAAGAGAAGTTTCCGTTGTGACTGACAAATAATGTGTCATATGCTTACAACGAAAACTTTGGAACAGTAAGTTCCACTGTGACTAAAATACACATTTACCGAGAAATCTAAACTTACCTGGTGACCTGGGAGTCAGGAGTTTCCACTGGGCTTGGTTTATTATTCTCTTCTTTTGAAGGTCTATAAGTTTGTTATATTCTTTCTTCAGTGAGGCATCCAAGCATGATGGAGCAAATTCATAATCAAACAAAGCTCGTGCTGCACGAGGGGATATTCCTGTTAGTAGCAAGCTCATCCTGACATAGTTTTCTTCTTCTTGTGAGAGTCTAGATGCCATGATGTTATGCTCTTGTAATTAAGTTTCTAGTTAAACTGTTTTCTTTTGTATAGATTGATTAGTTTGTTGTTTGGCGACCAGTCAAAAATATTTTCTGTAATCAGATTGACCTTTTAAACAAAGTTTCAACTGTATTTCCTTAATACAATTTTCATAGCTGTTTCGTCCACATATTTGAATCTTAGGTGATGACAACAGTTTTGATGCTGACATGCTGTTGTACTTCTTATGATGTAACCGCAACACATTATGGTTTTCATAAAGTTTGCTTATTATATAGAAGAACTGTGCTTCAGTGCATAGATATGGTTTCTTAGTCAATAAAAACAAATGCATTGTCCATTGTGAACACAGTGATCACCAAATATTGGTCATGATCCTGATTCATTTTCAACATGTTAACTGTATTATGTCCTATTATATATCAACTCAGTGTACTATACAGAGACTGATCATTCAATAGCAAGGAACTGTCATTTTAAAGCAGCAAATTCTGTAAAAAAAGGTGAGAATTCTTTTTGAAATGAAAATCTAAATTCAATAACAACAAAGCTGGTACAGACACCAAATTTTTAAATTGGAGAAAAACATTCTGTTAAATTGTTATGCAATTATATTTAATAAATATTCTCAAGAATGTGTATCTATAGACACCATGTCCTGTTTGAACTTTTATTTTTCAATGTTCAGTGAACTATAAAATCTTGTTATCACAATGAACATGTGTTCTAAGTTTGAAGATGATGACTCTCGTTACTTGGTTCTTACCATAGTCCCCCAGCCAAGTACACGATACAGTAGGATTCTGTGATATTTTTTTGAAGAATTTAAGGAAAAATTGTCATCCCGACAAGCAAAAATCCTGATTTCCAGAGCTTAAAATATAAAAATCCTGAATCTCGTTCACAATTTTTACCAAAATCCCTGAGTTAAATTGTAGGCGTCCCGATTTCCCGAATTAAAAAATGGCTGATCCCGAGGTCCCGAAAAAGGTCCTGCCCCCCCCTCAAGAGAGGTTAACTATGCTTAATAATTACTGTTCTAAATGGTGTTTAAATGTAAATTAGAACAAGACAACAGTTATGATTTTTAATAAAGCAAGGAGACATTTTAATCTCCCTTTCTACCTAGGTGAGAAAGCAATTGGTTGTACATACAATGTATATTTATAAATAATTGGGCATCACATTTATACGGTATACCCAGTGGGAAATTTTTTCAATGTAAAGATGAATTGTACAAGAAGTCTATGAAAGCATGTTTTAAATTACAACAATGTATGTCATATTCAAACCCTAGTATTTCAGCTTTACTTCATTTATATGACCATACTGTAAAGCCAATTTTAACCTATGGATGTGAAGTTTGGGGTATGTTTTCAGTTAACTCAGCTGCATGTAAGAAAAATGATTAATATATATTTTAGAAAAAGTGTTTTCAAACCATACATCTGAAAAATCACATAACAAATTTATGAGATATGTATTAGGTGTAAAAAGAAAATCCAGCAATCTTGCTATTACTTCTGAACTAGGGAGATACCCAATGTATTTTTATATTCTATTAGCAATGTTAAAATATTATCATCAACTAGATAATTCTGAGATCATGTTATTATTTATATGATGCATATATATGTAGTATTAAAAGAACTTCACAATAATAAAGTGAATACATGGTTCTCAAGCATAGATTGTATTTTAAAAAAGCTGGGCATCAAACATGTAACTTACAAACCAGTATCTACTCTTTCACAAAATTTATCAAAGATAAGCTATATAAAAAGTATCTCCATTTCTGGAAGGAAAATAGAAATAAAATATTACATTGTATTACAATCAGATCATTTAGGCAAACTTAATACTAATTTTTCCTTTAAAACTCTATTTTGTTTTGGAAAATATTTGGATCTAAAAGATTTTACATTTGTTTTAGATTATGGCGATCAATCTGTAAGATTAGAATAAGCACTCATCCATTAAGGATTGAGACTGATAAATATGCAAATATTTATGTGAATAGGACACTTAGAAAATGTTTATACTGTACATTGAATAAAGTGGATAGTGGGGGCTGGTTTTAATCAGGCTGCAGTGTTGTCATTCTTGTTATTAAATCATCAAATCATTTAAAGTTCGGTCTTTTATTTTTCACAAGGAATCAGATTTATATTTAATGTCCTTCTTTGTCCATATTTATTAATTGGAAAAGTCAACAGTCATTATTACCACACATGAAAATCTAGCCACATGTACCATTGTGTCTATCTTTTCTCCACAATAATATAAGTACAAAAATCATGCCAATAAAAAGAAGAAAAGGGCTTATTATGATCTATTATCTCATCATTAGTGAACAAAAATTGTACCCTGGGAACAGTATATCTATATATAAGTCAATATATATGTTCCTGATGTAAAAAACATATGACACTTTTTCTAGAGTACAAAACAGATCAAAACAGCCCACACAAAAACGATAAAAAATGTTGCAAAAAAATTGTAACCTTTGAAATTATTGTCACACTCTAAAACTACCATGGGGATTTTCAAAAGTTGGCAGGAATGTACTTTCAGAGAGGATTTTCTTTAAATAATAAAATTTATCAATAACAATCCCATTGCACCCCTAAAGAAAAAGAACGCAAAAAATTGAAAAGACTACAAAAAAAATATTTCCAATAGATGAAAGTTTCAAAGAAAGAAAGCAAATTTAGCCACAATAGCTCTATTTTCATACAAGATATCATAAATATCTATTTTTGTATCATGGCCACAAAATTAAACTTCCTTGATAAAAATGTCAACAATAATGGATCTCAAAATTGAGTATCAAAACTACATACCTTGATTACTTTATCTTATAATCCATAGACTTTGTGATATAAACCACTTAATACATACAAAATTACTCAACTTTCCTTTAAACAAACTTAGCAAAATGTGCTAGATTATTATCTAGTAGATAGTACTTTCGTTTTCTTTCGACACCTAACAGAAAATTCAAACCAAAAGACGGAACAAATTCCGCAGTCTTGTCTTATTATTTTGAATATTTTGTTTATCTGTTTATAACACAGCCGTTTGGGAAATGGACCCCTTTTCAATGTAAATAATGAGCACCGCCAACACACAGAACGTGTGTAGTTCTCCTTTGAAGGGGGTAAAGATACAGAGGTTAGGTAAGGTTCAAAAGCAAATACAAAAATGTTGTTCAAAGTGCGCGATTGAATGGAATAAGAAATATCATTATTGGAGGCTGCTTACCCAGGCCAAAAACAAATCTTAACCATATAAATAAAGTATTTTCGACCCATTTCAATTATACCCACTGTGTCAAAATTATTGACAATAGACAATGGACAATATATTTATTTGCCCAAACACATTTACGTTAAATGGTTATGGCATACAGTATAGAACAATTGAAACAATAAACTGACAATAATTAAATTAGAGTGACAGTTGGATTCACACGAAAAGAAGACTACAAATATGTGTGTATTGACAGTTAGACAATTATTAGTGCCCATGAACTAAAAAGGATACATATCCAAAATATAAATTATACAGATGTTTTCAATAAAATAAAAATTATACAGATGTTCTCAATAAAATAAAAATTATACAGATGTTCTCAATAAAAGACAATCATTAATATATTTTGTGGTGATTTTTATAATGACTGGCAAACTGCTATTCAAAAGTGTAGTCATATGCCTCATGAGTGTTATATATAGCTGATTGCAATTTAATAAAATTGAAATTTAGATTAGTATTAATTTTTTGTATAGGGATCCCTCAATGATATATATAGCATGGACAGAATGAGAAGAAATGTTATTCATCCTCAATTTCTTGCCTATTACAGGATAGGGAAATGCGTTGTTTTCTTTCAATATTGGTATAACGCCCCCTTTCAATTGCTAGGGAATGGGCACTGAGTACTGAAAAACTGATCTGTCAGTATTTAATTTACAAATATTCATATACGGGGGCCTTTTTCCATTTTTTTAGTCTTTCTAAAGAAATTTAGTTTTTTTCACATTTAAGGATAGAACAGTTCATAATCTGATAAGCCTGGTCAACGATTCTTTGTTGGATAGTATTAATATAATATCTTATATTAATGGGGTCAAAAGTAAGATGGCAAAATCTTAATTTATTTAACCAGCCTTTTACAATGTTAACCCATTTACTTGTTTTCTCTACATTATTATATATTTGTATAGACTAATATTTGAGAAAATTGTCTTTTAACATGTTTAACAACTATATTTATTTTTGACCAGACACAAATTATTAATACAACAGCAGTATGGATTTGAGAAAACAAATCTTGTCATACAGCACTCATTAAAATAATTAATAAATTGTTAGAAGAAATAGACAATGGAAATGTTACTGCTATTCTATTTTTAGATTTTAAGAAGGCATTTCATACTGTAAATTACAATATCCTATTGTCAAAACTAAAATTATACAAATGTGGTGACCACTCTGTAAAATGATTTTCATCCTACCTCTCTCCACGAGTGAATAAAGTTAAGTTAGGAACCACTGAATATAAAACTATAACTTTTGTTGGAGTTCTTCAAGGTTCTATACTTGGACCTTTATTATTCCATGTTTATATACATGCCTTACCATCAACTTTAGAATATGCAGAGCCTGATCTATATGCTGATGATACAACTTTGCATTTGTCATCTAAATCTATTGTAAATTTTAACATATGTTTAAATAAAGACTTAGAAAATATCATTAAATGGTGTAAAGAAAATGATATTATGATTAATAACTAGAAATCAAAATGTATGCTTGTTGGATCAGACAGAAAACTTGAAAACTGCAATGAATATTCACATGTTTTATCACAAGATAATATCTCTTTAGATAATGTAGAGGTTGAAAAAACTTTTTGGAATTTATATTCAATTTGATAAAAATCTGTCATGGTCAAATCAAAATGATATAATATATGAAATTATTTCAAGCAGAATATACCTGATAAAAAGGTTGAAACACTATTTGCCATTATTATAAGGGTGTTTTTCTCTTTTACAATAGCTTTATATTACCCATTATTGACTATTGTTGAACAGAATTAGGCCTTACCACAAACTGCAATCTGGAAAGAATTCATTTAAGCTCCAAAAACATGCAGCAAGATTAATGTTATCTGTTTCTTTTTATTTTCCGTCAACTTTAATGTTTAATAAGCTTGAATGGATGACTATATTTACGAGGATACAATATTTTCAAGCTGTCTTAATGTTTGAATGTAGGAATGGTTTAGCACCTGGTTATCTATCTAATACATTTACTGCATGTGCTGATCTTTATATTAATTAATCGCTCATGTCGACAACATCAAGACTAATTCATGTACCAAGACCTTATTTTGAATTTTTAAAAGAACAATTAGATATTCTGGTTTTATTACCTGGAATAATTTGCCAAAAAGTATTAAGGAAACAAATAATTTCGATACATTTAAGATCAAATGTTCAAATTATTTTTTTTAACTTTACAGAATGAAGATACCACAATCTAATGTATTTTTTCTTCTTTTGAATTCATATGTGCTTATTCAATATTTAAGCTGCTTTATATAAATTAACTGTATTATGTATTTTATTTGTCTGTATTTTTTCTATTTGTATAAATAGTTTATGAAGGGCTCAGGAAAGATTAACATGTTATTGTTTTAAAATAGTTACCTTCGTTAAATGAAGAATTTTATTATCATTATTATTATTATTATTATTTATATATTTCACAAGAGAAAGATTCTCCAAAACGAAAACCAGGTAGTGACTTACTATCTACATAACCCTTTAGATTATTTACAATACCTTGTCGGACAGAACACACATATTGCTACATATATTATATTGAAAAAAAAAGTCTTTTGTACCAATGCAACTCTTGAGTGCATCATAAATGTGAAGGCTTAGGTGAGACTGATACAAATTAAATGGTATATTATAATGGTTCATTTAAAGGATGTAAAGACTTAATAAAGTTAGATTTTAGAAACACTGTGTCTAGTCTGTGTCTGTTTATTAACCAAACGGAAATAAATGATATGGGTTCAAATAACATTTTTTTTATGTAGATAAATATAAAGCTTTGGTTAAACAAGAAAATTCTTTTAAGAGTAAGGAGAAAGAATTAAAGTCCAGAGAGGTTCATCTGTAAGAAGGAAAAAGAACTGGCAGGGACACTTAAAAAAATCTGTAATTGTCAGCCATTTTTCGTCGAGCTTGGATCTCTCAGATTGGGAAATCTCCTGTTGTGACTGTTGCTGATTCGACTGAAAAGCTGTAAGTCTGTCCATCACTGTAATTATGCTGTTTAGACGAGTAATATAGCCGCTTTAATGGAATTGTCTAACTCCGTGTCTATCATGACCAGTTCGAAGTTAGCGAGAGAATGATCTAATAGGAAAATTAACCCGCGAAAATTTACCAGTCATGTAATATAACAGTTATCATCACGTGTTCAAACATTTATATATGAAAGAACCGTTAGTACAATACTTTTCTTCTATACTTCGAAACGCGAAAAATTATGTATATCATTTACTAGGAGATAAAGAGGGTAATAAAGTTGGGTGCAGAAGATATGCAATCGCGCAAGTATTAAAACTAGCTGAAATTTTAAAATACAAGTACCGTACAATCAAATGATGTAAAACTGAAGAGAAAACCGAGTAGAAAAAGATAACATCAAGAAATTATTTCAAATAAGTAAAAAAGAATAAAAATAGAAAAAATTAAGAAGGGAGAAGGACACTATTTTATAAGTGGAATGTGATGAGTCAAAAAGTGAATAAAGGAAAGCTCATAGACAGCGGAAAGCTCAAACACAGAATTAATATATATTTTAAAATAATTTTGGAGAGCCACGAATATAATCAAAATCTTTTTTATAGACTTGTACGCAGTCAGAGAAGTAACCCAGTACAAAGATAAACCAGTTTAAAAGTTTTGGAAGTATTCATGATATATGTCTCGTGCTATCGAGAATGCTTGCCAGCGGGCGGATTATTTTGAAATCTTAGTAAAAATTTGGTTTGGAAGTTTGGCTGTATCTGTAAAACTTATTTCAAACTGGATAGCACATCTTCCTTTTTTACGGAGATGATAACTGAGCCCGGAAATTTAGGTACGACTCGGGTAAACTTATTAATCCTTTAAACAAACTTAATATTCTAAAAGGTTACCAATTCAACATTGTAATTAGATCTCTAAATTGTTGTTTTTATTGGTTTAGATATTGATTTTGTTATCAGTAAATTAAAATCAAACTAGATATTATTGTTAGGTATATATATACATATGGACATTCACGGTTCTACAATCTGTCAATACCTGTATTTTGGCATTGCACAAGGTCGTGTTTTGCTCTGCTTTTTAAAGACGTCTTTATACTAAATCCATTGGATGTTGGATATGTACTATTGATATTTTAGTCTTAGATACATGATTTTTATTATTAGTTGTCATTGTCTTTGAACTAGCTGTCAGTAACTGCGAGTACTCTCAGATCTGTACTAGTGTCTTTTTTGTTGTGAGGATGTATAAATACCCTGCCACGTCCGGTCTGTGTTACTTGTTTTTCTGCTTTGTTTTGATCTGATGAGCCCTTTTCCACTGATTTTTATAGTTTGTTCATATGTTATGCTGCTACACCAATTTCCCAGTCTAGGGGAGTGTTGGGCACCCGCAAACATCTTTAACCCCGCCACATTCTGTATGTGCGTGTCTCAAGTCAGAAGCCTGTAATTCAGTGGTTGTCGTTTGTTGCTGTATATCATATTATTGTTTTGTACATAAACCAATCCGTTAGTTTTCTCTTTTGAATTGTTTTACAATTGTCATTTCGGGGCATGTTATAGCTGACTATGCGGGATCGGTTTTTGTCATTGTTGAAGGCCGTACGGTGACCTATCATTGTGAACTTCTATGTCATCTGGTCTCTGGTGGATA